ACCATGTAAAGGTGGTAATAACTCAGGAAGACCCATTGCTGGATCAGCAGAAAGGTGAAACATACGGCATCCCACAGGACCCCTGCTTCCTTTTCCTGGGGCTCATCTTCAGGGATGGCTGCATGGAAGACGGGAGAAACCAGGAGTCGTGTGGCCAGCCCTTGGGATGGGAAGAGCCAGACCTTGTTTGGGCAAACCCTGCCCTGCTGCCTGTTGGGCAACTCTTTGCTCCCCTTCCTGCTCACATGGTGATTTTTAGGGGAACCAGGAGATGAGGCCCCCTCATCTCCACCAGCCCCTCCCTGGAGCCTCAGCTCCCCTTCCCCATCCCTTGCGGTGACTCAAGCAGAAAGACACGCGAGGTAAGCAGAGGGGGTACAGACAGGTAATCGTGGGACTTGAGAACCTCCCTTGTCAGCCTCTCTGGGACGTTCAGAAACCTGCTCCCCGCGGCCCCGACACTGAGCCCCGGAGCCCCGGGCTGGCTTGTGGAAGATGGGATATGTGTCCACACGAATGTTCTTGACAAACTGGGAGAGTGAGTGGGAGCCTAGCCCAGGGTGTCACTCAGAGGCAAGAGTTAAAATAAACACATTCCTCCTTTTCCTTCATTCATAAAAGGAAGCCAGTTATAGCTCCAGTCGGGCAGAACCCGGGCCTCCTCCCTTTCTAAACAGGCCCAAAGCCCGGGAGTCAGTAGCGTGGCTGGAGTTCCGCAAACTCGGCGGAGTGCTGTTGGCAGAAACTGGGACCATCCCCGGGGCCCAGAGGCCGCGGACTGGAGGGCGCCGCTGCCCTCGACTTGACACTGGGTCTCAGGGCAGGGCCTCCGGCGTCTTGTTTTCTCTGTGCTTTTCATGTGGTTCCAGGATTCTCCCTAGGAGAGCGGGTGTCTCCTAACTTCTACTGGGGCTGTCCTCCATGTCCCTTCAAAGAGCATCTGGCAAAACGGTCAACTGCAGCCCATGAACTTGGTCTGGATCCTAAGTCCAAATAATAATAATAATAATAATTTTCTGAAAACAGCTGCCATGAACAATTCAGGAATAGCTGGGGGCATTAGAACCATTAGAACACAGGCTGGTATTGGACAATGTGGGGAGTTGGTTTTCTCAGGGTGAGCTGATAAAAATGTCCTTGTGTAGGAAAATGCCTTAGTGTTTGCACCTTTTCCTCCAGTGATTTCACAAAAATACACACCCACCCTCAAATATAGACACAGCACAGATGACAAAATAAACTGCCGGTCCGGGCTGAGGGGGTGGGTGACCACTGGACTTCCCTTGCAGCTCTTCTGTGCGTCTGATCTTCTTTTCCTAGTGACCCATGCAGGCTCTGCACCAGCAGGGCCGAGCCAGTGAACGTGCTGGGGGACCCGCCCAGCTGGCCCCCTGGCTGTGCAGTACGCGCCGGGACCATGGACGCGCCAGCAGCTGGAGACGAGTGACACCTCTAGGTACCAGCACGCCGATCCATAATGGAGAGGCGGGGAAAACTCAGGGCGCCCTGGGGCTGCAACGCCCCCCACCTCAGCCTGGCTGATCAGTGCCGTCTTCCGTTGGTCTCCGAGGTTGTAACTCGAGCAGAGCAGCACTTGGCTGTCTAGCCAAAGAGGTCCAGTCATGCTCCTCCCCCAAGAACAGAAGGAGGGGTTAACCCAGAGGCCGAGCAGAATCTTCCCTGTCCATAGGAACTGAGGACAAGAAACTGAGTGGCCATGAGCCACGGTGTGGCCCTGATGGGGGCCCTGCCCTTCCCTCCTCTCGTTCTTGGTGTTCTCATCTGCAAAGTCACCACGTCATCTCTGGAGACTCCTTCCTGCTCTCACGGTCTGGTTTTTATAAAGAAAGGCTTACTGGCCATTAGGAGGATGAAGTCCTAAGACGTATGGCCCTGAAGAACCCAGCGGTCTCCTGCCCACTGAGACACAGTAAGATAAATTGGAGATGCGAATGTCGCCATTACCGTAAAAGCTAGTTAATTTGACAGGCAATCACTCAGAAGTTTTCAGGCCAACGAGGACCAATATTCTGAACAATGACCCAAGGCTTGGAGACCTCCGAAGAATGACTCCATTATGCTGAGTGCAAATAATGTGTAGCTGAGTTGGAAGTTGTGCATGGACCAATCAGACAAAGAAGCAGTGCAGGGGTCTGGAGACGGGGGCCCTAGACTAGCTGGTGGTGCTGGGCTGGCCTCTTCTGGCACAGCTCTGTCTGCACCTCTCATGTGGAAATCTTAAATCTTACCAACCCAGGGGACGGGGTGGGGGATGCACCAGACACACTCTCTCGAGCCCTCTTCTGGTTTCAGACCCACGACTTCTATAGCCTTCCAACTGCTGTATTAATCTTGGTTCCACATTATTCAAATGCGACCCCACCTTGAAATGTGCATGCCTACCAGGTTCCGGGGCAGTGAACAGCCCTGCTGGGGGCGCCGTCTCCAGGTTGTTAGCTTGGTCAGAAAGCACATTTTCTATCGCACTTCTTCCCTCTCTTGATTTCCTTTAGGCTCAGGGCTCGCCAACATCAAAGGCGACTCCCCAAAGCACAGGCTGCATCATGCGTGACCCACGGGGGTCGTTTTACATCTTTCCACCTTTGGCAAACACATCTTTGAAAAAGGCCTTTTAAGATGACTGTTGGTTTTGGCAGTACCTTTTGAAGAGTATTAAGACAGTCAGGCTAGGAAAACAAAGAGCAGCCTTGAAAGAAGGGCTATCCCGTACCGGCAGGAGTGTCTTCAAGGCAACCACCAGGCGGTCCCATGGCGGCAGAATGGCCTTCATGGGCTGCAGGAGGCGGCCGCTTCCCTGCAGCACAAAGCATCCTAAGGCTGCCAGGTGCCTGACACCTAGGATGCTGATCCATGTCGTTCCCGCAAGAAACACCAGACAGAGCACAGATCAGAAATGATACCGAGAAACAGTGACTTCTGCCATGTCCAGAGAGGAGCTAGAAGGTGGACGGAGTGAGTGAAGGCAAAGATGACGTACTTGCCAGACATGAAGTTACCTCCCACAGGTTATCTTAAAATAGAAGGACATGGAACACAGATTTGGGGATAGAGATGCAATGAGACCCTCACAGACTCATGACCACACCCATGAGATGAAAACCTCACCAGCCAGGGACTTGAGCAAAGTCAAGTTTATCCAGATACACCTGCATTCATTAACCCCCTCCCCCAACCTTTGAAGCATGTAATTCTTTGAAGTTTGACAAATGCACACAGTCCTGTAACCACCACTGCAATCAAGATATAGAATATGTCCCTCATCCTCGAAATTCCCCAGACTCCGGTAGCCCATCCCCTACCCCACCTCCAGGCAGCCAGTGATCTGTTTTCTGTCCCTAGAGCTTTGCCTTCACCAGAATATCACGTGCGTGGAACCAGGCACTGTGTCACCTCTTGTGTGTGGCACAGTGCTGTCGAGAGTAACCCATGTCATCATGCGTGTCAGTAACGCACTCCTTTTCTCTGCTGGCTGATATTCCACTGTACAGATTCACATAATGTCTCCAGTCCCCATTTCCTGGACATCCAGGTTGTTTCCGGTTTTCAGCCATTGCAGGTAAAGTGGCCATCAATTTTTCAGGCGCAGGTTTCTGTGTGGAACAGAGTTTCCATTTCACTTGGGTAAATACTTAGGAGCAGAATGGCTGGGTCGTGTGGTAAACTTGCGTTTAAGATGATAAGAAACTGCCACCCTGTCTTCCACGGCGGCTGCACCATTTTGAATTCCCACCAGCAATGCCTGAGGGTTCCTGTTGCTCTGCGTTCTTGTCAGCACTTGGTATTGTCAGGTTTTTGGTGTTCTGGGTTTTGTTGTTTTGTTTCGTTTTAATTTTTAAATCTTAGCCAGTCTAAGAAGTGTGTTAGTGGCACCTCACTTTAATTTTTAATTTGAATTTCCCTGATGCCTAAGGACATTGAGCATCTTCCCAAAATGTTCTTATCCTCTTATCTTTTTTGATTAGGTATCTGTTCAAATCTTTTGCCCATTTTAAAAACTGCATTGTTTCCTTCATACTGAGCCACAGGAGGTCTTTAAATATCCTGGATACAGGTCCTTTATCAGACACGTGTTTTGCAAATTTTTCCTCCCTGTCTGTGGCTTATCTTTTCTTGATCTTAGCAGTGTCTTTTGAAGAGCAGAAGTTTTTGCATTTTGATAGAGTCCAATTTATCGACTTTTTCCTCTTATGGCTTATGTTTGGTGCGTCTTATTTAAGAAATCTTTCTTCAGCCTGAGGTCACAGGTTTCTCCTATTTTTTCCTTAGAGGAGTTTCATAGTTTGGGGTTTTACATTGAGGCTTAGGCTCCATTCCGAGTTAACTGTTGTGCGGGCTGGGAAGTATGGACAAAGGGTTTTTTGTGCATTAGGGTTTGGCGGCAGGTGGGGAAGCTTAAGTGTGGACATACTCAGAAATGTTCCAGCACCATTTGATGAAAAGATTATCCTTTCTGAACCATGGATTCTGTTGATCCAGGTGCCTACCCTTTCACCAGGAGCACACATAGTCTTGGTGACCGTCCTTTATATTATGTCCTGAAATCGGGTCGTATCAGTCCTCCAACTTGGTTCTTCTTTTTTCATGGTTGTTTTGGATATTCTAGGTCCTTTGCATCTCCATATAAATTTGTCCATTTCTTTTAAAAAGAGCATAGATCTTTTTTCCTGTTGAATTCCTGGTGCTTTGAGCAGTGCCTGGCACATTCTAGGTGCTCAATAAATAATTCTGAATGCAAGCATGAGTGAGTAACACATGGTGGGGACCCAGTCAACATCTGGTACATTCCTAGGAGGGGCTGCATTCAGAAAGTCATAGAAGATGGTACAACTCCTTGGGGAAACTATTTGGCAGTTTCCTAAAGCACTAGAGGTGCATTTATCCCATGACCCAGCAATCCCACTCTGAGATGCCTACCCAGAAAAAAGGAAACAGATGGTCACAAAAACCCTGTGCAAAAATGTTCACGGAAGCTTTATCCTTATTAACCCCAGGCTGGGAGCAACTCAGATGTTCATCTACTCATGGATGATCACAATGTGGAATATTCATACAGGGGGAACGCTACTTGGCAATAAAAAGGAACGATGTACTGAAACATGCTACAAGGTGAATGGATCTCAGAAGCACCACGATGAGTAAAGGAAACCAGACTCCAAAAAGTGCATTGCCTACAATTCTATTTAGATGAAGTTCTGGAGTAGGTAAAACGAACCTGTGATGCAGAACTCAGATCGGTGGGTGCCTGGGGAAAGAACTGACTAGGCAGAGGAGGGAGGGAAGTTTCTGGGATGATGGAAGGCTTCAGTGTCTTGGCTCCACACCCCAGCACTGATTGCATGGTATAACTAAGATCCGGACGTTTCACTGTATGTAAATTACACATCAATTTTAATTTTTTAATTAAGGAAAGAAAACCATAGTGATTTCTTCTCCCAAGGGAAGAATTCTTTTGTCCACGAGGCTGGGAGGGAGTGGAGATGCCCCACCCCACCCCCCAGTGGTGTCCAGGACCACGATCTCCGTTCTTACTGGCAGAAGATGAAGTTGGGGACAGGGCTGAGCTGGGCGAGGTCATCTGGCCGGAGGTCTCGGCTGACCTCCACATTGTCCCTGGCCTTTATCCTCACAGGCGCTGTGTTCTCATCCACAGACAGTTGCCACTGCAGGGAGGCCACCAGGAGAAGCAAGAAGTCAACTGTGAAGACACAAGAAAGGGGTTGTGGTCCTCAGCAGTGGCGTCACCACTGGTGGTTGGAGGCGTCCACAGCGCAACTGCAGGTGGAGCCCCTGGGGGACCTGGTTCATCCTCCAGTAACACGTGGAAGCTTCCTTGTCTCCATCACCTTGGCGGGGCACTTGGTGTAAGTTTCCAGGAGTCCCTGGGCAACCTCAAATGTCACAAAGCCTGCTCTGCCTCCTGGGACCCCCTCACACCACTCACAGTGTGAATTCAAGCCACGGGCAGTAAGAGAGCTGCTGTCCTGTGTGGACCTGGCCCTGCAGACCTGGGCGGAACCCCAGATTCTAAGGTTGGGGAGGGGCATGCAGTTTGAGTCTACCAGCATTTCATGAACAGCCAGATGAGTGAATGAAAACGTGGATCTTGCATGGGACAGAGTTCCAAGAAAGGGGAAGAAGTGGATAAGGGTAATGAAGACTTTGGCGATTTCCACAGCCTACAGTAACATCTTCTCACCCAAGACTCAGCCTGCTTGCAGAAGATGGGTATTTTCTAGACTAACTGAGAAGGACCAACCGGAAAAGAACACAAGAGTAGTCACTTTGGGGTGAGGAACTGTTGACCCGCAAAGCCCAGATTTTGGAAGGCCTTGCTTTGAGATGACACTTGGAAATCTTATTCGCAAACCAGCCGTCCACTTTGTATTTAGGATCAGAATCACTGGGTTTTAAACCATCCGTTGAAAGCCCTTCCCCACCCCCAGCGCCATCAGAATCATGCTTATAAGTTAAAATTCTCTCCGATGCCAACATTTTTTAATTAGATGGAGAACCTGGAACCCGGTTACTGCAGGTCTTCGCTGAGGACTGTCTGGGTGACTACAAGAAGACGGAATGGAGGGGTGCTGGAAGGGAGATTGGCAAAGAAGGATGGCGAAAGTGGTGCTTGGCCCGTCCCAAGTTCTGAGTCGCCTGCGCAAGCTGACGTCCCCCCGTGAAGAGGCGCTCGGGCACGCCCAGCACTCACAGAGTAACAAATCGGCATCCGGCTTCTCGGCCAGGTCTGGAGATACAACCCTTTGATGAGTTTCGAATGCATTTCTGTACTTGTGGTTCTCCGTGGGTCATCTGTAAAGAAGAAACCGTTCCTTTATGTCTTCGTTATTTTGCTAAAGGCCATTGAGTCTGTGCTCTGTTGGTGCTTCTTTCAAATTATATGGAGTGACTAAGATGTCAGAGATGATTTCAGGGTCAAGAGAAGGACTGTTGTTTAAGTTGCGAGGAGGCTGGGAAGGGCTTCAAACCCCTGATGGCCGCCCTGCCTGGCGACCCTGATCGGGTCTGCCCCGGGGTGTGGGGGTCCTTCACAGAGAGAGCCGCCTACCTGCACTCTGTCCACAGGGGGCTGACCTGGGTGGACTCCCCACTTTGGAGCGGGGGGGAGGGGCTGGGCGAGGCTGTGGGGTGAGTGAGAGGGGCCTGGGGGATGGGCCAACATCCTCAGCCTCAACCTGGGAGAAAAAGAGGGGCTGGGAAGACAGGAGCAGAGACACATGACTGTGCAAAGAGGGGAGGGTAAGGAGGGAGGAGCCGAGGGGGAAACAAGAGAGCGAAAAGGAAAAGAGGATGGAGAGTGAGAGCAAGAGGAAGAGACGTGAAGAAGAGCCGAGTGCTGGGAAGAAGAGAGGAGGAGAGGGCTGGAGAGAAAGAAGAAGGAAAGAGAGAGGGGAGGGGTGGGGCTGGGAGAGACAGGGAGCCAGAGGAAGTCGGCAGAGAAAACAGGATGAGGACGGCGGGGACACTCTTAGGGAAGGTCACTAGTGAACACCACCTGTGATGAGCTCGGCAAATGGTACCCAGGAAGTGGACAGAGGTTGTCCATTTGACTTGGGGCAAGGTTTTTGACTCTTTACTGGGTTGGGAGAAGACGATCCAAGGAAAGGACTACCCAGGTCCAAGTCTGCGGGCCGAGTCCTCTGGGGGCCGTTACCCTCAGCCAGGAGGCGGCAGGCAGCACACTCGGCCCCGCGCCCTTGGGCAGCCCATGCGCCTCTCCCTTCAGCCTCAGCTTCCTCATCTGTACAGTGGGGGTGCTGGTGCCCACTGACTTTCCCTCCCAGGATGGCTGTGGGGAAAAGAGGTGGGAAGTGTTTGGGCAGCGGAGCGTATACTCAGGTGGAAGCTGCATCCTTCTCCTGTTTCTTGCTCTTTCCCTTTTAATTTGCTTTTCAGGGCAGAGTCAGACAACCCCTCCTCTCTAGGCAAGTCTGGGTTAGCTCGGGGGCTGTGACCCCGTTCTCGGCCTGTGTCAACAGCAGTTATCACCCCTAGAACAAGACGCCCCAGGGGTCGGGCCAAATCGTTTCCTCGGCCTGAAATTCCTCAGGGCAGCAATCCTCTCCAAGAAGGACCCCTAGCTCCTCCACACAAGGACACCCTACGCGTCCAGAGCAAAGTCGGCGTTTGCCAAAACTCGGCGTTTCCCCCGCTTGAAGGATCCAGTGGTGGGCAGGTGGGTTACCTCTTCAGAGAGCAGGGGGCAGCCTGAGATGCAGAAGGTGCTGGAAGATCACCAGGATGATGAGGGCACCACAGTATCGGGGCCAGACCTCAGCAATGGCTTCTCTCCGCCGCAGACTCAGCAGATTAACCAGCCAGAGGACGTGGACGAGGAAGTAGAAATCCATGTGCTGCCCTACGGCGTGGAGAGCGGCCATGAGGCACAGCTGAAAGTCCGAGTGAGAGGCGCAGAGGGACCCCCGCCAACCACAGGCGAGCGCCCCGGGCAGGAAGGGCCGGCCCGCTCCCTGGGGCAGAAGGTGCTTGGGGTTTGGGGACGGTGGGGAGTTGGGTTCCTTCATTCGTTTTGGCTTTCTTTTACAAAGCCCCCCCAGGGCCTGGAAATTCACTACGACCATTTGATATGTTAGCAAATTGGATAAATGACAAGCCCCAATTTGCTAAAGACCATCCAGAGAGGGAAAAAAGGAGATGCTGTTGACCACGAGGAGATAAGGAGGCCGTGAGATACTCTGCCGTGAGCATTGGCTCCACGGGGCTCTCAACCGGACAGAGATTTAAAAAGAAGGGAAGGCAGAGGGCGGGGTCCGTGATGCAGACCCGGCGGCAGCGGGCAGAGCAGGGTGTTCCCGCCAGCCAGCGATGGGGCAGCCTGAGCACAGATAGGACAGCCGTGGGGACGAGACGCCGGCAGCTCCCGGGCATGTTGGGAGTGTCTCTCTGTTTTGAAACATCAAGCACTTTTCTTGACTCTTTTAAAATAAGAACTATATCTCAGGGAAATCACGTAGTTGATGAGGGACTGTTTCTCTTTCAGTGAATAAACAAGGAGGACTTGATAGAAGTAGTGCCACCATTTAAAGTGAAACCACAGGGACACAATCGGCCAGATCCACGCGAGGAGCGCGCCCACAGCCCTGATCAGCTCCCTTCAGCCAACACACGGCAGGGACAGAGAGAGACTCTGCAGACTAAGAGCTCAAAAGACTCATCAGCCAAGGAACCAACCACAAGGCATGGAACTTACTTGGATCCTGCACTGAATGGATTTTCAAATCATGAACCAATCAGGAAAACCTGGACAGAGGCTGGAGGTTTGATTTTAAGGAACAGGCTCAGTTTTTAAGTGTGAAGAATGGTCTTGTTTTTGTTTTTTTGAAGAGTTCGTGTTTTTGAGAGAGAAACACAGAAGTACTCCTGAAGTATGGCAACTCGTTCAAAATAATCCTGAGGTGGAGGAGAGGGGGAGGGAAGAGACAGAAAAGATGGGCTGTGAGCTGGTAATTGCTGATGACGGTGAGGGGTTCCTGGGGGCTTATCTGTTGCCTCTACTTTTGTGTATGTTTGGTAGTTCCCTTGTTAAAAAAACAAAATCAGGAATCTGTAAACAGGAGCAAATGCAGGGATGTCACCTCGAGCCTAAACTTGTAAAATCCAAAGTTGATGAAATATTGCACAGCGCTGGGCAGCCAGATGCACTCAGGTGAGGGTGTCCAAGGTCATACTGGCAAGGGGCTCCGGCAGCCCGTCCCAAAGCCGGTGAGATCTCTGGTGCTGGCTCCCTGCCTCCTCCAAAGGCACAAGGGCCAGGACGGCCAGCTGGCTCTGCCAAGCACGGCAAACCGAGTCGACGCTGCCTGGGGCAGAAGCCCCGTTAACCGCAGCTGCCCACAAGGCACACTGCTGACATTTCACCTCCTACCCTCCACCCTCGTTTCTCCAGTACAATCACGGTTTGGGGTGGTCAGAAGCACTTACCACCCGAGAGAACGCGCTGGTGTCAGTGCCAGCTCTTCCGGAGGGGAGGACCTGCTTCAAGGCCCCAGCTGGTAGGAGGACCAGAACACATGCCCCCAGGTTCTCAAGCGTTTCTGCCCGTGTCTTCCTATCAGAGATGCTCTCCGCAGATACGGGGGGGGGGGTGAGTGGTTTTCCCATCGACGCAGCGATGCCTCGTGACGAGCTGGGCATAAGAAGCCCGTCATAGCGGCTCACGCGCTTTCCTCGACCATCACGTTGCCACGCGACACACACGCCACACCCCATTCCAAGCACGGCTTCCCTTCCCGAGGCGGCTCTCAGCGATGCCATGGGTTCCTGCTGAGCCCCGCCTTGCGGCCTGGAGCACGAGTGTAAGGCTCGTCCCCGCGGGGCTGCTCCCTCCTCTTTTCTCCTCCTTCTCCTTTCAGTGTGATCGCCGTGCTGGGGACCCTCTCCTGCATCCAGGAGGACTTCAAGGACGGAGAGAGAACCATCCAGATCTGGGGATGGGGTTTATAGGAGGGTGTCTGTTGATGAGCGACGAGGGGACAATGCAGTGAGAGCCTAGCTGTTGGTTATAAACATGCTGTGTTTTCCCTGTTGATTATGTGGCACTGAAGTGAAAAGGACTCCCTTGTTAGATCATCTTTAGCCGTCCCTGTGGCTTCAACTCGGGGCTCTTGCAAGAGACTAACTAATTATCTGAGATGAAGAGAGAGGTCTGTGGGGCGCCCCAGACGTGCCCGCGCCGTCCCTGTCTCTGTGCAGACGCGGCTGGGCTGTTCGCGGCCTTTCATGAGCCACATAGAGATTCTCTGTTCTGCCCAGCCTCTGGCCAGGCTGCAGGGAGACCCCCTGTGTCCTCTCCGCAAAGGAGGAGATGGAGAGTAAATAGGACTTCTGTTCGAGGCTTTGGATAGCCGGCTCGTCTGTTTCCAGAAGCTTTTGGGGGCAAGGTCTGGAGCTGAGTGGTAACCAACGGAGGCTGACTTCTTAAAATAAAATGTCTGGTAATGAAAGCCCCACTCCCCGCACTCCCAGGAAGTGAATCACCGGGTGGTGGGAGAGAGGGGGCTGCCGGTGATGACTCAGAAGACAGCAGAGCGTTTGGCTCCCCCCGGAGCACGGCGGAGCCTTGTTGCTGATCTTCTTGGGAAACTTGTTAAAAAGAGATGGAATCTGCGCTCCCCTGCCTTCCTAACAGCACGCATCCAACACGACTTGTTCTCTCCCTTGATGAGTGAGGCCAGCCCCTCCTGCCTTCCAGGGCGCAGCTGACAGATCACGGGGCTCCTCGCCTGCTGGTCTTGGTCTGAGGACAGACACTAGAGCTACGGCAACACTGTCTGCCTCTTTCTGTGCAGCCAATGGGTGACCCGAGCCCTCTGGGTCCCAGGCCTCCTCTGAGAAGTGCCCCTCTCGGAGGACCAGGGTGAGAATTCAGAGCGCAAACGCACAGTCATCTCGGGAGGGCGCCGGGGAACAGGGCTCTGGGTGCACAAGTATGAACAGCTCCCTACTCTGAGCCTCCCGGTGTCCCCCACTGGGGCTGCTGGGCTGGCACGTTGCTCCCCCCTGCTTAGACAGTGACTGCTGAAGTCCTCTTTGTTCCAGCCCAAGGCCCGGGCACTCAGCCAGCCGGAGTGAGGGTGGCGTGTGTGTCCCGCTCCCCTCGCCGGACCTGCTGTTACCACCCTGGTCCTGCCCCTTGGGGTGGGGCCTCCTCTACTTCGAGCTCCTCAGGGGTGACCTGGCAAGATGGGATATTCCAGCCCAGGGGAGCCCCTGAGACAGGAGCCCATTCCGGCCCTGCCGTTCCTTCTCTGTGTGACCTTGGACAAGTGATTCTGCCTCTCTGAGCCTCAGTGTCTTCCTCTAAAAACGTAGGGCCGCCACCCATAAGGCATGAGGTTGAGCCTAAAGAGATAGGATCACCAGAGGATTCCGTGCAAAGTCCCGGCACTTTGGAAGAGGTTCCAGAAGGGGAGCAGGTACTCTCCCCATCGCACAGCCAAGGCGCTCCCAGACTGCGATTTTGGCTGAGTTGCTTAATTTTCACTTCTGCTAACAGCCTGCCTTTAATGTCACCTCTGTCCTTACTCATTCCTGGCTTTCCGAGCTGCCACGGAAACCTCTCTAGGCAAAACAGTAAAAGAGAGTGAGAAGTCGCAGCCAGGTCCATCTTGGTAATATATAACTTGGCCACCAAAGCAGTTACTTAATGTAACGTTCCCTGGGATGGGAAGGGGACTCTGAGCTTATGGGGTGGGTGCCCAGGGCGTGCCAGGCCGGCCGGCATCTCGTCCGTCTCGTCCCATACTCCCCGGGGCGCGGATCCCGGAGGCTGGAGCTGCTCTGACATCCCCATCTGTCTGTACCCACAGATCCCGAGCCGTTACTTCAGACAAGGCAGCACTCTGCCGTCACATTTCCTTCACGCTCCGAGCCACTCTGCTGGGTCCGCGGGCTGCAGGGACGCAAGCCTGGCCGGGGGTGGGGCGCATTCCATTTCCTGGCCACACCTGGGGGGGCAGGCGGAAATGACCCAGGGGTACTGGGTGGTGTGCCTGCCCCATCTGTGGACCCCAGAAGGGCCTGGGCTGCAGAGTCACCTAGGAAGGACCTCCCAGGCAGGCCCCTGTGCCTCAGTTTCTCCATCTGTGAAAGACCAGGTAGACCAGACAGCCCTTCTGGCACCTTCGTCCTTTTTGGCAGGTTCTCAAGGCTGACTGCCGGTCTTCCTCCCCAGACGAAAACAGGAGGGACAGCTCTGTTAACCATGGAGCCAGCTTTGCAAACTCCCTTCCGGCTCTGTCACACCCGTGGGGCTCCTTGGGCCTCAGGCCAGCCGGGCAGCCTGGAGCTGCAGACAGGTGGCAGGGCTCCGGCTCTCCTGGACCCAGACGTCCTGTCCCCCAGGCAGCTGCACCCTCACTTTGCCTCTTGCATACACTGTCAACAGGCCAGGCATGGGGTGTGCAGAAGGAAGGCTGACCTGGGGTCTGAGGCCCAGGACTCCGCTCACCCCGACTCTTCCGTTCTCAGCCTTCTCCACAGCTCCTCCCCTCACCTCCAGTCCCAGGTCTCTGCTTACTTGCATGTGTCTGTCTGTCCCTTTGGAATCTCGTCTCCCACCTGGTCTCCCCAGCACGCTGCCTGGCACAAGGCGGGCCCTCCATCAGAGTCTGTTGAATGAATAGATGGACCGAGTGTGGATCTTAGATGAGTCTTACACGCTCCTCCCACCTGGGCCTTAACTCTCCCATCTTTGAAATGGCAGAGATCTCAGCTTTTCCCGGATTACTGCATTTTGATTGTTCGTTCAACGCCTCTCCTTAGAGAAGACCCCAGGAATGCAGGTGCTGGGGAGATCAGGACCCGGCCCCTGCCTTTGCTGGGGGACCTCCCATCTGGCTGGGGAGAAGCTCCAGGTGGGAACAGAGCTCACTTCTGTGCAGTTAGAAGAGCAGGCAGAGGGCACGACCCACTTCAGTTGGAACATCTCCTTGCAGACCACCATCACACATGCCTAGACTGTGGAAACGCGAGATGCAGCGGGGCGTAATTTGGAATAGGGCAGGGACACCACCCAGAGGATGTAAAACACGAAATTCATCACAGAAACCTACCTGGAAAACGCTGAGGTCTGTGGGCGCCTTGGCTTTGCTCTTATTCCCTGCCCGTGATTAGAACATTTCAAACTAGGGGGAAATGGGAGTTAAAAACACACCCACTGGACCTTCGATAAGAGGTCAAAACTGTGCAGAAGAAAGAAGAGGGCACCTGATAGCCATGGTCTCCTGGAAGCCCCTGACCTCCTAGGGTGAGCCAGTGGCCACGGGGCTGTGAGCTTGACGACGTGTGTTTCCTGATGGCGCCACAGGGACCCTCGAGCCCCATCAACCATTTCTAGAAGCTTCAGAAAGCCAGCGGTCAGCTTATCGACTGCTGAGCCCCAATCACTCGTTTCCTCCTCTGAGGGGAAGAGAAAAGTCTTTGACCGGATGCCCCTGGTGATTCCGTGGGGTCTGGTTTTGTTGTTGAAAACAACGGGAAGAAGTCTGTCTTTCAGAGGAAGCCCGAACAAAGCGGAGAGAACTAGGAAGACGTTGATGGCTTTTTCCCTGAAGAATGGTGTTTTCTGATAATCCTGAGTGCCGGGAGCAAGGCCTCTCCATTCCCACGCTGACTTTCCCCTCCTCTCTGCTCCCGGAGTTATCTGTGTCACCCTCTGTCACCACCTGCTTCTCCCCGCATTCCAAACACCTGTTAATACTCCTGTTTCCGGAGGGGAGGGTAGAGCTCAGTGGTAGAGCATGTGCTTAGCTTGCAGGAGGTCCTGGGTTCAATCCCCGGTACTTCCATTAAATAAACAAACCAACAAACAAACAAACCGAATTACCAAAAAAAGAGAATAGGGAAAAAAAAAAGAATGAAAAGGAAAAAGGTCCTGTTTCCTCCTCTAGACCACGGTTGGCAAACTGTTTCTATAAAAGAGCCACACAGTGGTCCCTGGCACGTACTCGGCTCTTACAGCAGGAAGGTACCCACAGGCTGCATGCAGATGGTGTGGCTTTAGCCTCAAAAACAGGGCGGTTGGATTTGGCCCTGGGTCCATGGGTGGCTGACCCAGCTCTAGACCCTGAGTTCCTTGCGGGGGGAGACGCCAGTTATTTCTCTCCATCTCTTTAAGGCTCAGCACCTGGCCCGGCACATAAAAGGCGCCCACTAAATGCTCAATGGTGGAGCATAAATGAGTGAAAACAAACTAACTGCCCAAGAGGAGGTTAGGTTTAGCCACCACCCAGGAGAAGTCTTTCTCCATTTGCTGCTCTTCGTCATTGAGAAGAGTGTCGCTTGGTAGCAAGGAGGCTGGCACACGCTGAGCGCTGAGATGCCAGCTGTCACGCTCAGTGCCCTCTGTTTCTTACTTCTGTCCACAGGCTGAACCACAGACATGCAGGCCCCCCCACCCCAAGCAGCTGGCTCCCCACATAAGCAGAGCAGACTCCAGGAAACTCAGTCACTTGCGATGGGAGCATTGCTCTTTCACTGAGAGTGAAATGGCAACCAGCTGCTACCAGAATTTGCAGGTCCAACCGATGTGAACTGGCTCCCAGGCACGGGAACAAAAACACAGCAGCTTGGGCAAGAGCAGGCAGGTGGACGGCAGGGCAGTGACGTCCTGGCCATCGGGTCTGGGACACCGGACCTACCCCACCCCTCAAAGCAAAATGTGAAGACAGTGAGCTGAGCTGGGCTGAATCAGGGAATCTGGTGAGCAGTCTTGGTGGGTGTTTTGTTTTGTTTTGTTTTGTTTTTTAACGGAGCAACTGTTTGCCTGGATGCCCAGGATTCTTGGCAGCCCCAGAGAGGAACCCCGGACAGCATCATGCAGGAAGGATGACGTCTTGGGGAAAGCGGCATCTCCAACCTGTCAGTGCCTCCCTCCCCAGCTCTCCAGCCTCCTCACTCTCCATTCCTAACCGCTGGCTTCGTCAGCGAAGTTCTGAGCTGCCTCCTTTCCCCCGCTAAGTCTGGGTCGTGGGCTGAAAACCCAAAGCGGAGCACTCGGAGGCATTTAAACGCAGGGGACGGAGTATCAACCTGCTAGTCTGTAAGTGAAACAGGTCCACGCCACGCAGAAACGCGGGCGGGGACAGACTCGAGGACTCGGCTGTTCGGAGCAAGTGCTGTATGACCTGTACCGTGGGGAATCACGTGTCTGCTTTCTCGGGGCACAGCCGACTCCAGGAATTGATTTGGGGGGGGAAAATGCATTTCCCATCCCTCTTTAGTTCTTACTTCTTCTGAAGTTTCCAAAGTGTAACCTTAAGCCTGAAAGAGAGAGACAGAGAGCGCCTTCTCTGTTTATAAAAATATTCCTTTCCCATTGGATCTGTTTAAATAGCAAGCTCTATAATAAATTTTTAACAGTTTACTCATTGACTGTATTGACCGAATTAAGGCATGCACATAGTTAAAAAATAATCCAAAGGGCACAGAAGGGTCTACAGAGAGAAGGAAGTCTCCTTCCCACCTCGGTCTCCCTCCCCTGAGGCAAGGACCATTAGGTTTTTCTGCATTCTTCCAAAGGTGCACTTTGCGTGTGTAAGCACGCGTGTGGGTACCTTTTCCCTGAACACATGGCAGCGTGCTCTATACACACCGTTGCACCCCTGCTTTCTCCCCTTGGCCGTCTGTCCTGAAGCTGATTCCGGATCAGTATACATGGAGCGGCTGCTTCCTCTTTGAGGGCAGCAAAGCCTCGGAGCATCCTGCGGCTGAGACACACCGCCACGTGTCTAGTCAGTCCCCTTGGGATGGACATTCATGCTCTGCTGGAATTTTCAAAAGGATACGATCAATACCTGAACGCTCGGGAACAGAGCAGGGCGCCTGGGAGAGGGGTGGCTCGGCTGGCGCACCCAGCACGGGGCGCTCTCTCCCTCTTGGGAGAAGCACACCTTGCAGAGGAATTTTAAAGAGAAGAGCTCACACGTGCACGTTGACTTCCCCCCTGTTGCTGGGGGAGACAGATCACAGGGCGCTTATGTTGGGAGCAGAGCGGGGGCTGCTGTGCGTGTTGCATTACCATGGCAACCCCATCCCCAAACGCCATCATCTGCCTCTGAATACCTTCGCCCCTTCACACCATACCAGTTGACCCAGGGCAACTAGGTCAGCCTCAGAAGAGAGCGTTTCTCCCCAAGTTTTCTCCTCCCTCTGCAGGGGCATCTGTGAGGTATTTACACATAATTCCAGGGGTGGGGAGCAGGGGGCACCCTTCCCTGTTCCTTTAGAGCTTTCAGATCCCACCTTGGATACGAACAAAGCTGAGTAAAAACCAAAAACAAACTGCACAATGTTGACAAAAAAGAGCATTTGACAATCCCTGGAGGAGAAAGAGGAATCACGCTGAGGTGTTTTGTGAACTTTTTCAGGAAACGTGTTAGAAGTGTCGCAAACTTTGATCTGAAAAACAGATTCGGGCCTTGAGAAGGCCACTCCCTCCTGCCTAATTTGACTCAGTAAGAAAGTGAGTCACTTTGGCGACGTACCACCTGTTAAAATAAGAATTCTGCGAAATCGTCTAACATATTAGTGACTCAGTCTAAAAATTAGGAAACCTTTCAAAGCCAAGTTTCACAGCCAAAGTCTTAATTTAGTTAGAAAACAGAATGGTAAAAGCGAAAATCAAACAAACCCGTAGGCCTACAGAGCATCCAGCGAGCAGACTGTGCTGCCCCAGGGCAGCTTCCAGACTCTCATCAGAGGCGGAACAGTTTCTGCCCTGGAGGCACCTGGTAGGAGAGAAAAGGTCCCAGTCCCTGCAGAGACGCAGGCACGGTGTCTAACGTTCCCTCCCCCAGTGACAAGAGAAGAGCTACAAACGGATGACTCAGCATATGGAAAGCAGACCTGATTCGCATCTCCTGCACTGAGCCATCTCTGAGCCCATTAGCAGAATCTCCAAATGCCACCCCAGGGACAGCAATACCTGCCAGATGTGGCTTTCCATTTAATGGGGATATTATGCAGCCTGGTGGTCTTCAGAGAGTCTTCATTAAAGTAATGAAGTTGAAGGAGGCATGCCAGCAGGAAGGCAGCAGGCGGCCGCGTATCAGCAAACAGCCCCGCTGCGTCAGAGCTCCAGGCCCACGTGGCGGACCCTGGAGCCAGGCAGAGGGGAGAGAGTCTTGAAGGGCGAAAGGCAGGCCCTGCCCTGGTCCTGCCTAAAAAAGATGCCCAGAAGCCCTTTCTCTCTCTCTTTTTCAGAAAAAAAAATTTTATTGAAGTATAGTTGATTTTAAGCGTTGTGTTAGTTTCAGGTGTAAAGTAATGCATTATAATATGTATGTATGCTTTTTCATATTCTTTTCCACTATGGTTTATTATCAGATGTTGAGCATAGTTCCCTGGGCTATACACGAGGACCTTGTTTTTATCTATTTTATATACGGGAGTGTGTATCTGCTAATCCCAAACTCTTAGTTTACCCCTCCCCCACCCCCTTCCCCCCCGTGGTAACCGTAAATTTGTTTTCTATGCCTGTGAGTCTATTTCCATTTCGTAAATAAGTTAATTTGTGTCATCTTTTATTTCTTTTGTTATTTATTTTATTTTTTAGTTGAAGTACCATCAGTTACAATGTGTCAGTTTCTGGTGTGCAGCACAGTGTCCCAGTCATGCATATACATAAACGTTGTGTCATAGTTTACAGTCCACATGTAAGTGACATCACATGGTGTTTGTCCTCCTCTGTCTGACTGACCCCACTTAGTGTGGTGATCTCTAGGTCCATCCATGCTGCTGCGAATGGCATCCTTGCCCTCTCCTTTATGTCACAGCCCTGTCTCTCGATGAACAAGTGGCATCTGACTGTGAGGGGCCCGGCGGGGCGTTGACGTTGGCTGAATGTCTCAAGACCGTTGACATCATACATAACTACGTAGAAAACCAGTGATTGTGCAGCTCGTGGGAAGAAGCAACAAGGGAAAGCAACTCCTGGGTCACAACAGGCTAGTAAGACAGGGAGCCAGAGGGTTCGGCTTCTCAACAGGGCCTGGTCCAAAAAGTAACACACCGAGTGGCCTGTCAACAGAATTTCTGCCTGATCTAGGCATGAGCCTTCCCAGTGCCGTGGGACAGAACTGGGCAGGAAATGCCTGCCAAACCTCAGTCGAGTTTATGACCGAGAGGAGGTGCTGTGGACAAGCAATGTCACCGGCCCTCTCCGTAAACAAAGGATGTTGTGGCCAGCGAGCCATCAGCCACGCGGCCGCCCTCCCCACCCCGACCCTGCGGTGCACCCAGAGGGGCTCAGGATGGAGGAAACAGGATACTGGCCCTACATGCTTAGTTCTGCCGGCAAACTGCCGGGTGTGGTTGGGCCAGCTCCAGGCCCACGGGGTTACTGGGCAGGGGGGCTGACATGACCATGACATAACATGGCAGAAGTTTAGTATTCTCAGGGAAACCATCTGGGTCGGGTGCTCTTGGCATAAACTCAGACTCACAGCTAAAACTCAGACTTTGCACTGAGACTGAGGCTTGAGGCATTGGGCGAGATCATAAAGTGGGCATGGGAACTTTCGGGTTTCAAGTCCACGGTCCTGGGACCCTAACCGAGCAAGTGGGTCACCCCTCCCTGGACCCAGGGCTCTGAGCTTCAAGCCTCGGAGCGGGCAGAGGCATCTCCCCAGACGTGGAGGAGCTAGGACCTGTGCAGAGGCGCGCAGAGAGCACAGGATGGAACTAGAAAAGCCCCGAGGCTTGAGACATTGCTGGCACCTTCTCAGGCTCCCCAGGGCCATTCTACGCAGCATCTTCGGTGCATAACTGCTCTCTCTCCTCTGTAAGGTCCCACCCAGGAAACCACGGGGCTGCTTTCTGTCCGATACCACACATGCTCCTGATCCCAGGAGCCACAAATCCAGGCTTCTTTCAGCAAATCAAGCTGCAAGAGCTACCACCCACCAGCCTCAAGAGCCAGACTCGTACCTCTCTTCACACAGCTCCGGAGTCTGAAAAATATAGCAATGATTTGAAACTGGAACACATAGATAGCCGTAAGGACCACCACTGGGTAAGACACCACGACCGTCCAGAAGTACTTCAGGATCCTTCTCCACAAACTGTACTGTGTCCGCTATCCAGACACGGTCCCTGACAAAAGGCACTGGGATGGTTGGAGAGGTGGACGGATGCTGGAGGCAGCCGGGCTGGGCGCCAGTGACCAGAGAGGCCACGGGGGAGTTTGGAAGGACGCCCTCCCCATGCCAAATCATTTCTTCTAGCAGAAATTTTTGCTGGCTGGAGCCCAAGCTTGTTCTTAGATAAGGGTCTAAGCAAGTTTTAAGGAGACACCAAAGTGAAGTCTGGAGTCCGTGACTTTGCTGAGCAGCCTGCAGACAAGCGAAGCTGAGCGCTGAGAAGGGCCTGCTGGAGGGAGAGCCTGGAAGCCACTGGGCTGGGAGCCTCGTCTGTTTAGTGGGTGATTTGGGCAACACTGGAAATCGCTCTCTCCCTCCCTGCGTGTGTCTCTTGCATGCACTTTTTATCTCTACCTGCGTGTCAGAATTGCTCACTTATCTGGAATGAAGCATTGATGTGTCTGGTGGTGGATCAGGCTGTGTGGCCTTACTGATAAACGTGAAAGAGCACCCGGGTCTGACGCACAGCGGAGCCGCTGTGGGTATGAAACCTGCGAGCAGCACGGCCTCCCCTCCGTGGGGACAGCGGTGGTACCAGCGCAGACGCTGGGCGGGGCCGGGAGTCAGAAAGCAGGGGGCAGGGCCAGCGCCGGGAGTGGGAAAGTGGGACGGGGAGCTTGGAGTTCCACGGGGGTTCAGCTGGTACGAGGCCACCCAGGACAGGGAGAGGAGCCCATGGATGATCTTGTTGCCTACCACCTTGCCCTTCAAGCTGACAATGAAGAAAATGGTGGCACAGATGTAGGTCCAGTAGACAAGCCTTGTGGAGGGAGCCCAGAATGCCCCAGGGGGACACTGTCGGGCCCTGTGCCAGAGGGAGGAGGCAGGGGGAGCGGTCAGGGCTGGGCCCCCCAGTTCCGGCTCTCTTGCCCTCTCCCCAGCTCCCTCTAGCACCTGACGACGGTGCCAGTGTTCTGAGGCAACTGGCCATAGGGTTCGCCCCTTCAGGTTTCTGCCATGTTCCCTTCTGACAGGAGCTGATGCACCCTGCAGGTCCAGCTCCTCTCGTGGGCATGAGCAGGGCCTACGGGGCTCAGAGGCTGACAGAATTGGACTACCAGCATCTGAAGTCAGTTGGACACCTCCCTACTACCTTCTGCCCAGTGGCTGGGGAGGTTGTGTGCCCAGGGCTGGGACACTGGACTCTTGAACCACAAGGCCTCCAAAGGCCCCTGCTAGTCCCTACCCACCAGAGGGATGGC